GATTTTTAAATAAGCTTAATATCACTTCCAATCACCTAATCATGATTCCAAATTAATTTATTATTTTTTGATTATCATTCAGTGAAAATGACATCATCTCAAGATGACAAGATGATAAGATTCAGTGACAGGAATCTTACTTAAAACCTTTTCCAAGGGTGTCAGAAATAATTATACTGTAGTCAGTATAATTTCTTTCCATTCTTTGCACATCACTTTGTACTTATATATCGATGTCGTGTTGCACACTGAGCAGAGATAGTCAGAAAGGGGACCAGAAGTAAAATTACCAACCATCAAGTAAACATCCTAATCACTGCTCATATTTACCTAGAAGAAGGTAGGGAATATCGAAACATCTGTGACAAGGAGTGAAATGACTAGATTTCACCTTGACTGTTATTGTATTTACAAAGTAAGTTAACCGTCATCTCTCCAAGCATCCTGATCCAATAAGATTTTTCTGTATAAGCCCAGGCCTGCAGTTCATTAAAATTTTAAATTTACCCTTATAAACCTTTCTGGAATCTGAGTTGAGATAGCCTGAGATTTCTGAACAACTAATCATTATTATTTCTTGAAATCTGGATGTTTATGCACATGGCTCCCAGCTGATTTGCATTCTGCACCAGTTACAGGAAGAGATCTGCCAGGAAGTTTTGAAATTTGAAGACAGATAGGCCCCTTTCTTGGTTCAGTCATAGCTCCAGACCTACAGAAGAGCCCAGGAAGGCCCTCCAAATCTTTTGCAATGAGCATTTTGAAATACATGGCTTCCAGGCAGTTCAGCAAAAGACTTAGGCTGGAGAATTGCAAAAGTGTATGATTTCTCACAGAGGAATGAAATGTGACGCAGCAGAGCAAACTGCAGACATTTAACACCAGATGTTAATGCAAAAATCGGACAATTGTAACCCCACGTTATCTGACCTCTGACCGGCAAAATCCCGTCACAAAGTCTGTAAGTCATCATCATTTCTGGATTCTTCCACTGTTAAACTTTGTGCCTATTTTTAAATGGAAAATAGTAATTCCGAGTCATATAAGTGAGATAATTAGATCATATCAATCTTGAGACATTTTGTGCACACACTAACAGAGTAATGTAATTTCTTACCATAAAAATCAGAAGTTCAGCCTTTCTGATTTGCTGTATTTCCTAGTGATTTTTCAAAAAGAAGTTTGAGACATTTATTCCCCTTGTCTGCACTCCACACCTATCTAACCATGAAATGCTAAAGAAGAGGGAAGAAATTTTGCTTAGTTGCACTGAGAGGGAGAGAGGACATCTAAGACATTCACTTTAAAGCATGTTTACATTTTTTGCACTCCTTCCCTAGATCTGCACACTTGAGAAGTTGAATGAATTTTTAGAAGGAGAACAGACTGTTTAGAAGTCGCATATCCATGAGGAGAGTTTGGCAAGAAATGAGGAGTTGTAGGTAAGAAGCTGTGGACTGGGTGTCAGATCCAAGTGAGTTCTAGCTCCTCTGCTTTTTCTGTGATAATGAACAAAGTATTTAACCTCTCTGGGACTCAATTTCCTCTTTCTAAAAAATGGGCTTCACATGGATGTCTTGACCACTTCTCAGGGTTGTTGTAAGACTCGAAGAGTACAGTTTGTGTAAGAGTGGTACATAAACCCCAAAGTGCTCTGTAACTATGAAGAGCATCACTCAAGCTCTGTTGTTTCCGCTTGAATCCTGAGGGAACTGAGGCTTAAAGAATCTCCTCTAAGCTGAGCGACAAGGTGAGGAGGACTTTAAAATGGCTCTCTTCTTACTAGGTGTGAGTATCTTGCCTTTGTATCTGTATACTTTTATACTTAAAATGGTGGAGAGGAAAGGAGGGTGTAAAGATATCTTAGTGAATCATTAGCAAGAAACAGTGTGTTCAACTGGCCCAGGCAAAGTGCCATCACAGGTGTTAGCACTTCTGCGGTGAGCTGAGAGAAAGCCAGAAACAGCAGAACACCAGGGGCTGTTCTAGAGAGAGTCAAACCAGTACAAGAGTCAGGCCCTGTCCCCGAGAGAGTGTCCATTCAATCCTCTCTCTCTCTCTCTCTCTCTCAGCAATCGAAGACAATTACAAACACACAGTGGACAACACTGGCAAGAACAGCTCACAGAATGGGTGGAGAAAGGATCTCCAAGACCATCCTGTCCAGTTTCTCCATTGGCGGATGAGGACACCAAGGCCTGAAGAAGTCAGGTGGCATGCCCCAGTTCACATGAATCAGCAGCATCACTGTGACGAGAAGCCAGGGCTCCTGGCCTTCTTTCCCTTCTTTCCAGTAATATTTTCTTGATCTTACACAGAGTGCAAAGGAGGTTTTGTTATTCAAGACACAAATACAGCCTAATTTTTTTCCTTTGAGGAATTAAATTTATTTTTCAGAGAGTCACATCACAGGAGCAATATAACTGAACTCTTTTCTCCCTTCCTCTTTCCTTCCCTTCTTTCCTTTTTTTCTCTCTTGCTTTATCTCTTTTACTTTATTCATTCCTCTCTTTCTTTCTTTCCTAGATATGTGCACCTGGGGGCAGATAAGAGATGCAAAGATAGCAGATCTAGGTCAGGGAAACACAATCTGTAGTTGCCTATTCTCAAAACCTGGGCTAAGACTTTATAAACACGGGACTATCAACTTAAGTCCTGAAACCAAAAAAAAGGTAGTTTTTTTTCCTTTCCAAATAATCTCAAAATGTCTATGTGAAAATAAAATTTTATTATTCCCCAGTGTCTCACCATCACCACTCATGCCTCAGACTTTTTATCTTCAGGTTCAAAATAACCCTGGCGTGTGTAACTGGATGATCTCGCAATGGGCGTGTGAGATTATCTGGATCTCATGGGGCCAAAGCAAGCTGATAATGTATTTCTTTCACAATCATCTACACTATATGCTTATAAATAGCCTTATTTAATTTGAACTGAATTTTCAAAATTGGACCATTTTAATCTTTCTCATCCCTTACACATAGGTCCAATTTGTTCATTTTATTCTTGACTCTGATCCTAAGAATGATGTACATTTTTCCCAGGCATGAAAAGGAGAGGAGAAAAAAAAAAAAAAAAAAAGTGGGCCAAAATGTAAAAAGAAATCTCCCCCAACGAATTCTGATAAGGAAGACACAAAACATCAAAAGCCAATAGTGCCAAAACAACATTTACTGAAGTTTTCAAATCTTTCAAAGATGTTACAAAAAGCGAGCAAAGTGAAGCTGATGACAAACTAGACCTTGAAAACTAACTGGTAAGTCTAGGTGGGCATATAGAGGAAAAAGGAACATCTGTAAGAATTTACTGTGGTTAAAGCACTGTTTGGGGCTTTTTTACACATATCTCATTTTATCCCATTCAGAAAAAGTGAACCCAGACTTGGAAATTAAGGCCAAAAAAAGGATTATGAGCTATAAATATCACGCTAGCCCATTATCCATCAAGCCCACTCCAGGGTCATCAAGGGTCACCTAACTCTCTTGAGCAATGTAACTGTGTCTGACTAATAATTCAATAGGGGCCAGATTAAGGACCCTATAAAGTTAAAAACTGATTTGTAGAAAACCAATAAGGCATGATGATTTACTTTTGCTTTCTAATAGAGAAATTTACCTCCAAGGTTATAGTTTTATCTCCCTGTAGGATACTAACCAGTTTTATATCTTACTCAGCAATCTCATTTCAAAGCCTTCCCCACTGATTAAATTCCAGTTCTTCATATTCTCTTCAAATTGCTCTGTGATTCTGATGATGAGTTAACTGGAATTTAACTCATCTTTTGAAATGAGAAATAGTTTTTAATGATTTGAGAATTTGTGCTTTGACGATCATCAAACAACCCCATGAGGTATATGTTTGAATTATAAACATGACAGCTGGATATCCAGAAGCAACTAAGTCTAAATGACCTGAACCTGAGTATTTAAATAACAATTAATGGGATTGTTTATTAATTTGTTTGGTTTAAATTCAGAAGTTTTTAAACTTGGAAAATTTAAAAATATTTGTCCATAGACTATGTGGAATACTATCATTAAAGTATGAAATTCCAGTGCTTTGCTGATTCCATTCATGGTTCTGGATGATGCTCAGCAAATTACTACTGAGGTTGTTACAAAAGTCACTGAAAAGTATTTAGAATACTTAGTAGAAAGACTTTCTTTGACATTTCGTGAATACGTTCCCACATGACACAGTCTTGAGAGCTTTTTGAATGAATTTGATCAAATTACCAGCCTACACTGCTATAAAGATGCTCAGCTCACTTTGTCCCTAGACTGGTAGAAAAATGAGGAACACAAACACACTTTTCTATTCTTCAGGAATGAAAATGATTTGTAGTCCTGGCTGAACAGACAGGTAGATATCAAGACTAGAGAGTGACACGTGACTCTTAGTCTGAAAGCACCATAGTATAGACTTTTATCTTAAAAGCGTATCTTGGAAAACGCTGCTCTTACATATGTGTTTACCTGTCAACAAACGTGCTTTTCATCTCAGATATATACCTTTGGAATGCACCCTTTTATCTACCTTAGGATCCATTCAATGTAAATGCAGATTTACAAGTTTTTCTCCATCAACTCCATAAGATTCTAAAGTTCAGGTCAATTGGTATCTAGGTTGATAAAAAAATCTGTTTTTGTACTGTGAGCATTTTGTCTACCAAATCAGGAATTAAACGGAACATGTGGCCTGGTTTCCCATAGAGCACACCCATATTTGATAGGCACTGGCAACTTAGATCTGCCACAGATTTACATTAAGTGAGGCCATCTGCCCCACCGCTAGCCCCGTTCTCAAACGGAACATGTGGCCTGGTTTCCCATAGAGCACACCCATATTTGATAGGCACTGGCAACTAAGATCTGCCACAGATTTACATTAAGTGAGGCCATCTGCCCCACCGCTAGCCCCGTTCTCAAACTCGAGGGCCAGCTGAATTTCAGCTCCACCTGAAGCAAAAAGATATCTCCGCAGTTCAAATTCATTTTGACTCACAGTTTCACTGTTTTATCCTGACTAAAGCTGTTCACTGTGTCTGTGGTTTTCTTACATAAATTTTCAATCCAGCTAGTGCTATTATAAAGTGTCTTTTCCAACCCTGATGTTGGTGGATTTTTAGCTCGCATATTTTTTCCAGATGTGATAAGTTCTCCATAGCCCTCTTGGTGAGCAAAAGCGTATCCAGATCTTCTTGAGCTTGACCGGCGGGTCTGAGGCCTTCGGCTTCTTGGGGGCCTTGCCTTCTTTTGAGCCTTCTGCCATTGGCGGATCTAGAGAGGAGCAGACGCAGAATGAGATGATGTATACAAATACAGGCAGTGGGTCACTTTGTAAATTGAAAGACTTTTCAATAAAGAAACATTGACAATAACAAAATTCTTACCTTCATTGCAAAAGGGAGTTTTAAGCCTAAAAATCAAGAAATGTTCCACCCAAAAGGTCACACTGGGCACTGGTTATTTTTATTCCTACCAAATAACTATTAAGTAAACAAGAAATATTCAGACAAATTTCATTATTGTCTCTATTTCATATGTCTTAAACATACAAGGAGCTTACTCATGTACAGAAAGATTTTCTAACATGTACCACCCAAACAATCAGCATAATAATTCCCTCCAAAGAGTCTTTTCTTTCTTGTTTAGAGGTTCTCAGATCCAATAGTCATCAGTAATTGGAATAGGAGAAAATTTAGAAAATCAGAGTCAAAAATGTTTAACTCTTGTGGTAGGTCAATGTATTTTGATTTGTTTAAGGGTTTTGATTTGTTTTAGTTTTTCTTTCTTTCTTTTTTTTTTTTTTTTTTTTTGGCCTTTTGAAGGGCTCAACATCATTTGGGTGAGTTTCCATCACTTCTTTCATTTCCCCTTAAAGTTGAGGAGGAAAAGATCTGAGGATTGGGGCAAGCAACCTTATTCTCCAACTTGCCAAATTGCTTGGATTCTGACTTTTGTGTCAGGAGAAAGCAATTAAGTAAAAAATCACAATCAGACTTAACACAGGAAAAATGCGCACCATCTTCCTTCCCTCAGTTCATCCATCATTTTCTGGGTTTATATCAGAATGAGCTCATAGAGCCGAAGAGACAGACATGACAAGGGACTCTGTGAATCTTTTACTTTGGCCCCAGAACATGAGGGATATAATCATAAGAAAAATTCCACCTCAGTTCCTCTCAGCATCGTTAGCCTGGTCCCACCCATCCCATCAGTGTTTTCCCCTTTCGCATGGCATGGCTACAAACGACGTCTCCCCTTTCTCTCTCCTTTTCTCTTTCTATCTGAGTCCTATCCTAACCTGACATTGTCTTGTTTATACTCCTCTTCCCATGAAATACTGAAATGTGTTCTATTAATTCCCTGGTTTAGGTATTTCTACAACCTGTTCTTTCAATTCTCTTTCTAACTTTATATTTTCCAATCCATCCACCATGTTGCTATTTCCTTTCTTACTCTGTTCAGAAGTCAACATCTCCCCCACGTTTCTGAATCTGCTCCTGTATTTCTACAAATATTTGAAGCCCCTTTGACTCATACCTTGCTAGTCTCTCTTTTACTGTACCCTTTACTGTACCCTCAAGTCAATAACTTTCCCTATAGCTTGCCTTTCTCTTGGACCAATTGTCCAAAATGATGCCAGTGAGCTTCTTTTATAAATACCCAATTTACTTGTAATTTATAACTCCCCACCCACATTTAGTCTAGATGCCTCTCTTCATTGGCACGCAGGTCTAGTACATTCAAGATGTTGGCAGTCCCATCTACTCTGATGTGATGCCATGCACCCGTGGGTGTTTGCCTGTGGGACTTTCATTATCCATTCCCTGAGCTTCCAATCAGTCAGAGAAGGACACCATTCCAAGAGCCAAAAACCAGCCTCCAAATACTCATCAGCACTGCAACATACCTGATCACTCAGGGTTGGGTATAAATCCACCCTCAAAAATCTGAATGCCACCACTGGCATGACCGAAGCCACCGTTGTCAAGAGAATAACAAGCCAGACGCACTTCTGGGTCAAGGAATGCAGTGCATTTCCTATCATTAAAGAAAAATATACACTGTGGTTATAAATATGACTGGATTATTAATAGGCTTTTTGTGCCTGTAGAATAATTTTTGAAATGGTGAGGTTTGGACTGCCTGGGAAGAACATTAAGCGTCTTCCCAGGATACAGGATGTTCAGTGGTGATGAGGAGAAGGCAAAAGTGGTAAGACCACCCTTGGAAACTGCTTAGTGTCCTGATCACTTGGAAATTGCCAGCCTGAGCCAAGCATTCTCTGATCCAGGCTCAGTCCAGTTTCATTCATGAAGCACAATTTTCTCTTTGAGCCTCAAGATCCTTTGGCTACAAAGTAGCTCTTATTTTTAGAAGGCAGATTTACCCTTGCGGACTCTTGAATAAACACTGGCATATCAAAACCACACAATGAATGTTCTGGATACAGGTACAATCTCAAATAATGGTCTTGTTGACTGGCTGTGTCAAAAAAAGGTGAATTTTGGGCCGGCCCGGTGGCGCACTGCTACAGTGCGCCGCTTGGGAGTGTGGCGGCGCTCCCGCCGAGGGTTCGGATCCCACATACAGACCGGCGGCTCACTGGCTGAGCGAGGGGCGGGCGCAACACCAAGGGGTGCGATCCGGTGCCAGTCACGAAAAAAAAGACAAAAAAAAAAAAAAAAAGGTGAATTTTGGGCCGGCCCGGTGGCGCACTGCTACAGTGCGCCGCTTGGGAGTGTGGCGGCGCTCCCGCCGAGGGTTCGGATCCCACATACAGACCGGCGGCTCACTGGCTGAGCGAGGGGCGGGCGCAACACCAAGGGGTGCGATCCGGTGCCAGTCACGAAAAAAAAGACAAAAAAAAAAAAAAAAAGGTGAATTTTGGGCCGGCCCGGTGGCGCACTGCTACAGTGCGCCGCTTGGGAGTGTGGCGGCGCTCCCGCCGAGGGTTCGGATCCCACATACAGACCGGCGGCTCACTGGCTGAGCGAGGGGCGGGCGCAACACCAAGGGGTGCGATCCGGTGCCAGTCACGAAAAAAAAGACAAAAAAAAAAAAAAAAAAAAAAAAAAGGGGAATTTTATCTACTTCAAGGCCAACCTTTTAAATTCCAGGCAATGGCCCAGAAAAACTGCCTCAGAGAAACTTGCTGTCTTTTTGAGGTTCACTTGATTATGAGTTCCTCAAGGCTCCAAAGAGACCAGGGAGGCTCTTGGGTTTGTGAACAGAGCGTCATTCTCACTGGGAGACTGCTGAAGTAGCCATCCAACATGCTGTGGCACTCACTGCCAAGCCTGAAGCCAGTTTCCTTACTTTATACTCACACCTCACATACTTCAGTGTTTGTTTAGACAAGGCAATAAGAGTCGGTAAGGCAGACAGACAAATTCCATTGGAATACGCCAACCCTGCTTATGTCACCAAAATAAACTGTTGTCCTTGTCCATTTTCTAGGGATTTTTCCAGTTATCCAAGTCCCCTTTCCCAGTTCTAAATAGTTAACTGCATTCAAATGGGCTTTGGGTACGAGGGCTTGGTTACTGATTGGTATGTCTGCTTTTTCTGGCTTTGGAGGGTGGAATCTGCCTACCAAAGAACAGTGATTCCAGTTGCCTTCAGCCATGGGAAACAAACTTGATTCAATAAATGAAATGTCTCTGAGCTCCTTGAAGCTCGGTATCCCCAGGCATGGCTGGAAAAACAAGCTTCACTTTAAAACCACACTCCTGCTTGCTGCTGGCTATTACGGAAAAAAAAATTTTTTTTCTTAAAACCCAGCACTGATCTAACTTTTGAAAAGTCTTATTGCAGCTAAGTAATTAATTCCTGGAACAGCTTGTGCTTAGCTGGAGAGAGTGGTCCCCACATAATCTACTTTCTCCAGTTGAGGCATTCCAGACTCATTATGCATTTTTAGTATGCTCTCTTAGGAATGGAAGTCTTCTAGTCAGTGCACTGAACTTTCAGATTTAGCAACCCAAAAAAAATTTTAAAAACACTTAAAAATAGTTTTAGTGGCTTTCTTTCCTAATATGCATATTCTTATTCATAACCAACGTGTCTCTACATGGTTGGAACCTTTTGGTAAACAAATTATTAACATTACATATTAAGTGAGAGTGGTGCAATTGAAAGATTTCCAAGTACACACAGGGGGAGGCAAAAGTTGAAGAATAATATTCTTAAGTGTATGTTTGCATTTAAATGTGATTACAATTTTAGGTGCCCTTGACTCAATGGAAATGTCTTAACTTACAGTTCTATTTTGCTTTCTACATAAATCAGTCTTCTAAGAATTGTTTTTCTAGACTGAGTTATCCAACCAGTGGATCCAAATTTCAGTCTTGTCTGATTGAGCTCAAGGAGGTTGTCACTGTGCATCTATCCTTTCCAGTTGGTTGAGATAAACTCATTAAAATCACTGTTACCAACTTAATTCACCCACACTAGAGATTTCAAAACTCCTAAGAAAGTATATTAATAGGACTCTTATGTAAAGCTCAGTGGCCTTTGCTGGGTATCATTTTTGTATTGGTCCACTTCTGTTGCTTATTTAAAAAATATACAGAACTGGGTAATTTGTAAGAAAATGAAATTTACTGCTTACAGTTTTAGAAGCTGGGAAGTCCAAAGTGCGGGGAACACATCTGGTGAGGGTCTTCCTCGGTGGTGGCTTTACAGCAATGCAGGGGTCTCACACAGCAGAAAATGACAGAGCAGAGAGAAAGACTAACCTCTCATGTGCTCTTCTTTTAAAGCCCTCAGAACCACGCTCCTGACCACCATTAATAATCCCTTCACTATGGCTTGGTCCTACAATCTAATCGCCTCTTCAAGATCCCACCTTTCAATTACCCTTATAGGGTTTCTCACCCTCCATAGTTACAGTGGGAATTAAGCTTCTAATATATGAACTTTGGGAGCTACAACTCAGTCAATCCACAGCATATTTTGAAATGTGGAATGCAATGGGAATATGCTCCATACATAGACCGGATGTACACTTTTTGTAGAACAATTGAATCTCAAGGTTTTAAGAGACTTTAAGAGTTGCTTTGCTACCCATCTGATGTTCAGATTCTTCTGCTATCCCCAGCTAGTAATCAAGCCACATTTGCTAGAATAATAATAGTCACCATCATCATGGTTAACATTTATTGAAAAAGTACTATGTATTAGGATACATGCTAAGTACTTTATATGCATTACCTCACTGAATTCTCACAAATTTTCTACGAAAAGAAGAATTGTTAATATCCTCAGTTTATAAGTGAAGACATTAAGGTATGGAAAGGAAAAGACACTTTCCCAAGGTCATGCAGCTTAAGTGATGGAGCTGGCACTTGAACCCTGGCTGTCTAACTATAGCACCTACTCTTCATGCTACTTATGGACCAATGTCCAGCAATTTTTAGAAGGCTCTAATTATACATCATTTCTTTCTTATCTAAATGCAAATAAATTCTACATGTGAACTTTGGTAGAGATGTTGGTGATAATGTGGCATAAAAGGGAGAGTCTAGTATTTCTCTTTCTTCCTCTACCATAGATGAACTTTCACAAACCTTCAGGTAGCCCTGGTGTATGTGCTATGACTCTTGTCTGCAAAGGGATAGCCTGCTGCATCTGGGGTATTGATAAACTGTAAGATGCTATCATAGTGATTCTTCTGCATCTGGTAAGGACAGCAGAAACTAATCTTTGGATCTTCTTTTCAAGCCTGGAAGCCTTCAGATGCCTGGCTCAATTAATTCCTGGAGAAAGGATCACTGGTCATCCCCAGCCCCAACCAACACAAAAAATAAGTTACAAAGACAGACAAATGGCAGCATAATACTAGGCCCCACCAGACAATGGGACTCACCGACAAATGGAAACTGGCTTGGAAAGGTGCTGAAGATGTCATTACTGTGCATTGTAAATAATATGCAGAAGTAAGTGGCAATGCTGCCCCAGATGAAGACGTGATTAATGACAGTCCAGTAACTGGTATCCAAGGCTATCTGTAAATAAAATCAAATGCAAAGGGGAGGTCTTTGAGGAGTAAAAGAACATTACTTTACCAAGTGATGTTTTTCTCCATAACTGCTCTGTCCCAGAAAGATTGAACCTGTCCAGCTGCCAGGCCAACCACAAGCACCCCACTTTCTGTACACACGCAGGGGACTGACTTGAGTTGACATTTCTAAATAGACAGTCGACTTTAGAACTTATACATGCAAGCCATTATATCTGTGAAGATTGAGTCAGAATCAGGAAATAGAATGTTAAACTTCTTTTAAGTGAGAAATAAGAAAGCAGAATGGTTTATAATTTTAAAGATACTCTCTCAATCTCTCTCAAAACTTTTCTATAGGAAAAAATTCTTTCTGTAGTGAGTAAGGGCAACATTTTCTAATTTGTATATAAATTTTTATACATGCATAATCTTTTTTACACCAATATTCCAACTCATTTTGATGATATTCTCTTAAATTACTCAAAAATATTTTTAAATTCTTACTCCTCTTTTGGCAAAAAATTCAGAAACTGGGATTCATGGTGGCCTGGGAGAAGGTTCACATGCCTTTTTTCCTTCCACTAACTTATGGCAGCTCAGCTAAAAATGATCTGCTTTTGGGGAATCAAGGAAGCCACTGGCAAATATGAACCCTTGAATTCTCCAGAGGGGAAAAAAGTAGGTTCTGGTGTCATCGTTTGCATCTCATAAGCCCCAAGCTGTCCAAGTCCAAGTAAAGATTTGTATTTCTAGCAGAGTAGAGTCTGGCCCAAGACCAAAGAGTTCTCCTCCACCTGAGGGGGCCCTACACGCCTTCTCAACATGTGAAGACATACTTCCCCTTCCCACTTGCAGTTTACTGTCCTTCAAAATGTTGCCCCACCAAAGGGATGTTAGCAGCCTTGGATGTGAACTGTAGGGGTTATAAAAGGATAGCCTTTTCTCTCTTCAAGAGAAGAGTTGCTGGTTTTCCAGTTCATTTGGCTGCCAAGACACTAGACCAAAATCTCCAACTGTACCTTTTACCACCGGTCAGTTCATCACCATCAAGAGGCAATGATAGCCTGACCTGTGTGGCTGAGAGTAGGCAAAGAAAAATCACAACCTACTTAAAAGGACTCAGCTAAAAAAACAAGAACAGGTGGCTCCTCTTGAAGCAGAACTAATAGAAGAGATGGACAAATACTACTTTTTTTTTTTTAATGTAATAAGATGTTTTAAGGAGATGCAATTAGGTCACAAAAAAAATCTGGAAGAAAAAACATTATTTCTGAATTTAAAAAATTCAATAGAGAGACCAAATAATAGTCGCTGAAGAAAACTGAATTAATATTCTGGAAAAAACAAATGGAAATAATATCTCACAACAGAGAACAAACACTTGAAGAAATGGAAACCATGTGCAAAAAGATCTGATACATGGATGGCAAATCCATAGATGTCAGATTCATGAGCTCAATATACAAATAATGGCATTTTGGAAAGATAAAAAGGAATAAATAGAGAAGTAACAATCAGAGAAACAACAGAGGAAAATTGCTCTGTGATAACAAATAGTATTGATTTTCAGATTTGTATGGCCCCTAAATCCTAGGCAAATTAATAAAAGAAGATACACTCTGGTGACATTTGTAAAGTCCAAGAATAAAAAAACATAAGCTTCTAGACGAAGAAGATATTACTTAGAAAAGAATGAGAATCTAATATTAAACTGCCACAATGAAACTGGAATAACAAAGTAAAGAAAATGCCTCTGACTCAAGAATCCTATGCTCATTCCATATATTATTTAAATGTAAAGACAAAGAAAGAAAGCATTGAGCTCAAAAGTATAATATCTAAATTCCTTCTCTGAACAAATTACTCAATGATATTACTGCAATCAAATAAAAATTAAATCAGAACAAAGACCTCAAAATAGCAGAAGGCAGAGCAAAAAGTGGAAGTGAGCAATGATTCTTATAAATTTATTGTTAGCTCTAAGTGAGTAATTGCAATGAGCTGCAGTATTAATTTAGAAAGACTTTTGGAATGATCATATCATATGTTAAAGGAGCATTTAATAACACCCTGGAACTAAAATTCTGACTTATTAACGTGAGAGTTGGGGATGGGAGCAGGGATAAGGAAGGAGAGTAAAATAACATTTCTAAAATTGTTTAATTGGAGATGGATGAGGGAAAGTTTAGAACAGGATAGTGAAACATTTGGTGAAGGACATAGTTATTATGTAATTTTAGTATATCAGAATGAAAATATAGATTTAAATGAAAATAGGGAGAAATCACTAACAAAGTAAAACTTGTAAATTATTCATGAGAAATAGGATATTTTAAACTGCAATGAATGCATCCAAGTATAAAAAATGAAAAAATGAAAATAAAAAAGTAGAGCTAAAAGTAATTATAAAATAATATTAAAGGAGCAAGGTAAAATACATGTGTTATAATAAGAATGAGTATCTTAAACTCCCTTATTAAAGGAGAAAAATTAATAAAATGAAATAAGAAAGAAAAGGAAATGAAGGGATTGGTCCAGATTATTTATCAGGCAAATGCAAACTTTAAAAAGTAAGAGAAGCAAAACTAATATCAAAAAATGAAACTCGGGCCGGCCCGGTGGCGCATTGCTACAGTGCGCCACTTGGGAGCGCGGTGGCGCTCCCACCGAGGGTTTGGATCCCACATACAGACCGGTTCCCGCTCACTGGCTGAGCAAGGTGCGGGTGCAACACTGAGGGCTGCGATCCCATTGCCGGTCCCGGTCAGGTACAGGCGCGACACTGAGGGTTGCAATCCGTTGCCGGACACGAAAAAAGACAAAAAGGAAAAAAAAAATGAAACTCAAATAATAATTTTTTATTATAGAAAAAGATAAGAGCTACAAGGACCAAATAACAATCAGAAACTGTTATGTAGCCAAAAATGTGTAGCCAAATTGTATAAGGTAAAATCTCCTTAAAATACAAGGAGAACCTTATATGAATTATAATCACAATGGCAAATTTGTAAGACACTTCTCTCAGCATTTGATAAGCATGATGGCAAAACTGAAAGTTCTTCTGGAAATCTGTGGCTCACCTTCTGGCATCCAGTCCCCAGTGTGATTGGAGACAAGCTATCAGAGGTGGTAGTAACAGTGTGTTGACTACAACAATGCAGCCATCTGGTTGGGTGTTGTTCCTAATGGCATTATGCCTCGCTGTGGCTCTCCCTGGTTCATTTACTCTCCTAAAGATACTGGAACTATCTAATAGCTTTTATTTACCAAAACTTTTTTTTGGTTTAAATTAAAGAAGTTTGTGTTGTTTGTAACTACTGTCTTTTAAAATAATTAATATGGCAATATTTATGAATATTTAAAATTACATACTCTCTGATCCAGAAGTGAAAACAACAAAATACCGTCATTCATCATGAAGATTGGTAAAACTTAGGAGTTCTGACCCTGGAAATCTCATTTCTAGGAATTTGTGTGACAGTACATAATATATATGTATTAGTTCATGCATTGTTGCATTGCTTCAGTAATAAAAGACAGAAACATTTGAATGTCTATCAATAGAAGACTGGTGACAAATTAGTGTATCCATATTATAAAATTCTGTGTAGCAATTAGAAAGACAAGATAAATTTGAATGTGTTGATTTGAAAGACTGTACAGCATATCTAATTAAGTGAAAAAAGCATATTACAGAATAATACACACAATTATTATCTTCTGTGGTTGAATGTGTGCATGTGTCTCAAAACCAAGAAAAAATACAAAAGGATTTAAACTATGGTAATCATAATAGTAGTTAAACAAGGGAAGGACAGGTACTTGAAAAAATACTCAACATCATTAGTCATCAGGGAAATGCAAATTAAAACTACATTGAGATACCATCTCACCCTAGTTAGACTGGCTATAATAAAAAAGATGGTGAATAACAAATGCTGGCGAGGGGGTGGAGAGAAGAGAACACTCCTACACTGTTGGTGGGACTGTAAATTAGTACAACCACTGTGGAAAACAGTATGGAGGTTTCTCAAACAAACAACTACAGATAGATCTTCCATACAATCCAGCAATCCCACTTCTGGGTATATACCCAGAGGAATGGAAATCATCATGTCGAAGGGATGCCTGCACTCCCATGTTCATTGCAGCTCTGTTTACAACAGCCAAGACATGGAACCAACCTAAATGCCCATCGATGGATGACTGGATAAGGAAAATGTGGTAATTATACACCATGGAAAGCTACTCTGCCATAAAAAGAATGAAATACTCCCATTTGCAACAACATGGATGAGCTTGGAGAAACTCATGTTGAATGAAATAAGCAAAGCACAGAGGGGTAAATACTGCATGTCCTCACTCATAAGTGGGAGCTAAGAGAGAAAGAAGGAAGGAAAGAAAGACCACAGTGGTGTGTTGGACTTGCAGAGGGAGAGAGCAAACCTCGGGAACAAAGTGGAGTGGGGGAGAAAGGGGGAGGGGGAGGGAGGTTGAAGATAATTGGGTGAGGGACATGGGGTACAATCGCCATTTGTAGTAATGGGCATGCTGCCAGTGTGGATCTGGCCTTTACATCTTGGGCATGAGGGCATCAGCTTTGTATATCATGAATATTCATAACCAACAAAAAAAAAGAAGAGAAGTAAAAGAAGACAGGTTTATTTTAAACATTTCTGTATTGTTTAAAATGTTAAAAGGAACATTTTATAATTCAAGCAACTGAAAAAACTGATATTTAAAAAAAAATAGAGACAACTGAAGCGTGGCCTGTAGCATCAGCAAGACATAAGATGTATAACTGTAATTACAAACCATGGAAATTTCATGGGGGTTGTTACCACAATGACAAGTCAAGCTCAGACAGTGAGGAAAAGACATTAACACTGCTGTCAAAGTGAACTTATTCACAGAATTCCTAAAAGTTACTCCATACATTAAAGACAGCAGTTTCTGATTGAAGCCAAAATTGTTAAGCTTCCATGGTTACAGACATTCATACAC